TGCATTGCTAAGAACTTCATTTGGACAACTTTAAAGGCGATTTTCTCAATATTTTGATTTGTTTGTACCCTCAGATTCCAGATTTTCAAATAGTTGTATCTTGGCCTATCCTAACAAACCATACATCAATGGAAAGCTTATTTATTCAGCTTTCAGATGATGTATAAATCAATTTTCGAAAAATTGACCCTTATGACTGGTTTTGTGGACCAGGGTCACATATTATTGACATATTACTGATACATATGGGCAGTTGACAGGCCCGGATTGGCTAATCGGGAGCACCGGGAAGATTCCCGGTGGGCAGGTCTGCTTTTTTGGCCGCGAGGGCCGGTGTTGTGTCGAATTCTACACCCCTGCCAGATTATGCACCCCTTCGTTGAAGTCGCTACCTGATTGCCTAATCCCAACCCCACCCCTAATCCTAACCCCTCCCCCACACCTACTCCTAAACCTACCAATACTAGGGGGTGCATAATTTGGCAGGGTGCAAATTTCGGCACTACACCGGTGTTGTCATTACACTGGATTGAAATATGGATGCTGTCCCTAGACTGCCCGCACTCACAGCAGCACCACTCCTTTTATTTATTATTTTCTCGCAGCCCATATTACTATTTTCACTAGACCATATCAATAAATTCTCAATTGATAATTAATCATTCTTTTTGCGCTAATCATTGTTTTATTCGTTAAGTAGCCATTTAAATGAAGGCTTTAAGACCAAGCGGAATCCTCTGCTGCTCCCGCTTCACAGCGAGCGGGACTCGCTCAAATGGCAATTCCTTTCACCGTCCGCTTTTTGATTTTGATTTTTGATCAGTTTGGGTGAATGCAAACAACTTATTGATCATGAGCCCAACATCCAGCAAGGCAGGAAAACATTCAATCTACCTGAGGGAAGACGTAGGTATTTCTTTGTAAGTTAATGCTGTTAGAGAGAGAGAGTAAACTTCTAGCGTATTCTTAAACTTGGACCTTATTTAAGCCTACGTTCTCTAAGTTTTCTTTCATTTAAAAAAATGCATTTTCATTCATTCAAAGGCTATATGGTTGCAATATTATTTTAGTTCAAAACTTTAAGTGGCATTGTTTAATACTTTATTGACTGACGTTTCATAGACTTTCAGTTGTTATACTCAGGCCGATGACATTTTTTGTATGACATTAAAATTATTTTTAGAATAGCCTAATTGTACATAAATAGGTTAAAGGGGTCATACGATGCTGCTAAAAAGAACATTATTTTGTGTATTTGGTGTAATGAAATGTGTTTATGCGGTTTAAAGTAAAAAAAAAAAAAACATTATTTTCCACATACTGTACATTATTGTTTCTCCTCTATGCCCCGCCTTTTTGAAACGCATCGATTTTTACAAAGCTCATCGGTCTGAAAAAGCGAGGTGTGCTGTGATTGGCCAGCTATCCAATGCGTTGTGATTGGCCGAATACCTCAAGCGTGAGACGGAAATGTTACGCCCCTCACATACTGTTGATGCCGTGTCCCGGCCGGAGCGACGAGACAAAAATATTAAAACCCATTACAAACGAGGCATCTGTTGCATCCAGTTATGGTAAAAGTATTCTTAAAATGCATTCAAAATTCTGAATAATTTGTAATATATATGTGGCGA